GGTCTAAGCCCTGAAGCAGAGTACACTGTCCGAAGATGTTTCAGATTTACAGACCTGCACTCTGGATTCTGTCAGAAACAACCTCCTTGCTAGGTCCTTCCTGTGGAAAGATGGGAATGCAGAGTTGTTAGATGGATACAGCATAAAATTTCAATTTGGTAAGATGAAGAGATTTCTGGAGATGGATTAAATACCCATACAAAAACACTTGAAGATCCATGCCCTGCAAAACTGACAGAGCCTTAGAGATCTACTTAAAGACAGAGAGCTCTAAGTATAAAGTGCCTTAGTCTATAAATCATTTATTTCTTTCCAGTGGGCTGCAAGTAATTATCTAATTACTTAAATCATGCAGACTAGAGTTGGGGGCGTAGTAGATTGGTACAAGGACTTCCTTCAGGCATGAGAACCTTAGTTCAATCCCCATTTCAGAGACTGACAGGGTGAGTAACCAGGAAGAGAGTGAGAGGTAGAGGCAGATGGAGGGAGAGAAAGAAGGACGTCAAATAGAAAACAGAAGAAAAGAAAAATGAAAGAAGGGAGGGGGAAAGGAAGGAGGGAAAGAGGAAAAGGAGGGAGGGACAGAGAGACCAAAGAACTGAATGGCACCAAGCAGTTTCCGGACTGGATTTATTTCAACACTGCTTGAAAATACTGGAGCTGATCTCATAAAGTAGACCTCCCACACCCAGTACGAAGGAAAGCAGAGGTCCTATCCCTTCAGGCTCCTAAGGGGGAGCGGGGGAGGAGTGCAGAGAAGGCAACAGAAAACGATTGCATAGACATGGACGACTGGAAACTGGAGGGGTTTTAAACAAGCAACATACCTTTTGATCGCATTAGGATACGGATTTTTTTCGAAAGCAATTTCCAGTTCCTTCACCTGCCGGGGTGTCAGACCAAATTGGATCCGTGGCCGCCTGCGCTGGGGATGTGGGACACTGGCAGCCTCATTCTTCTCCAGCTCTGGCTCATCCTTGATGTTACCACCAATGTAGTTGTAGTCCTGGACTTGGTTCTCATCATCCTTGAGACTTGGCATGCCCGGGTCCTTCATAAAGTCTGCACCTCCTGGATCCCTTTTATCAAAGTGGCCATTCTTGGCTTCTGCCTTCTCTTCGTCCGCTTCAAGTATCACCTCCACCTCACTCACCATCGAACTATAGAAACAGAGGCCGTAACAATATTGGTTGTATGCCATGGCCGGAACGCTAAAGAGTGGATGTCGACTGCATAGGGTTGAAACTGACCTCAACTGAGCATTCAGCAAATTTTCAATCTGCCCGCCTTCCTTTCCACGAGGGCTAACAGCTCTCTGCTTTGAAGCAAGGGAGAGGGCATGGCCAGGAAATGCCTTCAGAGGGTGCCTCTATGGAGCTTGTACAGATTGCACCTAATTTGGAACTCAGCTATCTGAGTAAGCCCACCTTAGCCCACCTAAACCAACAAGGAATCAGAGGAAGGGCCTGGAGGGGCTTGCAAGCTGTTTGGGGTGGGTGAGTGGGGAAGAGGTCAAGAACTCACACTGAGCACATGATCCCTGAGTGAACCTTTGGAGAAATTTTCAGAACGCCAACCTCCGTATTTCACTATCTGCACGTTGCAGTAGTCGGGAAGTAAGTGGATATGGTCAGCTCAGTAAGTGCTTACTCCGAGGTTCTGCAAAGACATCAAAAAAAAAAAAAAAAAAACCTGTCCTCTGTCCTCCACTGGCAGCAGCAACATCTTGGATTCTCTTTTGCACAGCATTCTTGGGGAAAAGACACTACAACCACCCTGAGTCCACCCTTGAGAAGGTTTAGATACCCAGATTTTTAGTAGTTAATCTGTGTCCTATTCCTTGTCAGTGCTTGTCACACATGAAAGTGCTGACACTGCATGGGGTCGTACCCTCTTTGTGCCATAGTTAGGTACACCACACAAGATCGAGAGCACTTTCATATAACGCCTGTACCAGAGTATGCACTATACACGTTAAGGAATTAAGGGCATAAGAACTTTGAGCCCAGTTAATTTCAAAGGGTAGTGATCTCAAAGAATCGTTTTCTGTGTGCTAAGGGGGGAGGGATTGGAATATATCCCCAGGGTCTTATTAAGAAGAGGTAATAATAATCTGGGCAGGAGACGTGGCTCAATGGTTAAGAACACTTATTGTTCTTGCAGAAGAACCAGGTTCGAATCCCATCACCCACATGGCAGCTAACGACTGTCCGTAACTCCAGTGTCAGGGGATCCGACAGCCTCTTCTGTTCTCCAAAGGCATTGCACGACACAAGTGCACTTACCTACATGCAGCCAATACATGCATACATATAAAATAAAAATAATAAATAAAATATAAAAACGGAAATGTAATAATGTCCAACGTGGTGATGGTCACCTTTAATCCTAGACCTGGGTCGGTAGAGCCAGCCAGATCTTGGCCAATCTGCTCTCTGCAGTGAGTTCCAGTTCAGGTGGGGCTAGTGGGAGTCCGTGTCTCACCAGAACAAAACCAAAAGACAGGCAGACAGACAGAAAGAAACAAAAGAAGGCAGGCAGAAGGAGAAAAAGAAAGAAAATAAATGCAATCTCCTTTCTCCCCCTCCTTTTTCAAAGCTCGAATCATAGTGTAATAGCAGGACAGACAGTAAGATTCCTAAGAATGTTCTTCCAGGGCTGAAGTGCTTCGTCATTCAGATGTGAAAATCAGTGCCCAGAAATACAAAGACCTTGTCAAAAACACATAGCATTAAGCAGATAAATAGATAGGGGTTTTAAATTTCTTTGTTAATGTGTCCAAGTGTTTGCCTGAATGTAAGTACACCTGTATGATGCAATACCCGTGAAAGCCAGCAGAGGGCCTCCCATGGCCTCACCTGACCTCCCCTAGCTTCCCTCCCCTTGCCTAGTTGAGCTTTGCCTCCCCTTGCCTCTCCTCCCCTCCCTTCGTCTCCCCTCCCCTCCTCTCCCTCGCTCTTTTATCCTTTCCTTTCCTTTCCTTTCTCTTCTGTTCTTTTCTTTCTTTTGTTTTGTCCTTTTGAGACAGGGTCTCCTTGTGCAGCCAAAAAAACCTAATTCCTGGCTGAGGAGAGGCTGAAGGTTTCTGTTCAGATCACTGAGAAACAGCAACAGGCTTTATAATAAATGAAACTGAACTGAAGCCACCCCGCAGCTGGGTGAGGCCACTATACTCCTAAGATAGGAGCAGGAGTGGCAGGCAGAGTGGTGGCCCAGCACAGGCCCTATGGATCGACTGGTCTTCAGGCCCTTACACAAGTAACCCTGATGTAGATGCCCCGCTGTGACCTGTGCCAAAGAATTGAAACTGGGGCCAGGGATCTCCAGGCTTGTGCTGCTTAGGAGCATTTTGCAGCCCACTCGAGTCACTTTTTTTCTTTTCAGGAACACAGGAACTATATATATATA